CAGGAAGCTGAGACATGAGAATCTCTTGAACCCAGCAGGTAGAGGTTGCAGTGAGCCCAGATCACACCACTGCACTCCAACCTGGGTGACAGAGTGAGACTCCTCAAAAAACAAAACAAAACTTCCTCTGTGGAGGACAAAGGGGCTGGGAAGTGACTTAATCACCAATGGCCAATTATTTAATCAGTCATGTCTAGGTAAGGAGGCCCACATAAAAATCCAGAAGGATAGGGCTTAGGGAGCTTCTGGGTTGGTGAGAACATGTAGAGACGGTGGGAAGCTGGTGTGCCTGGAGAAGGCATGGAAGTGCCACACTCCTTCCCACATACCTTGTCCTGTGTATTTCTTGCAGCTGGCTGCTTCTGAGTTGTTTATAATAAGCTGATAATCTAGTAAGGAAACTGTTCTGTGAGCTGAATGTGGAGGACTTACCACTTGTGATTGTAGTGTGAAGTAAGGGGTCTAGAATGGGGGTGGACAGGGAGGAGTTAACATATGGGGTCTGCACTAACTCCTGGCAGTTAGAGTCAGAACTGAGCTAAATGTAGGACACCCAGTGTCTGCTAAAGAACTGAACTATTGTGGGGAAAAAAACACCACACATTTGGTGACAGAAGTGAAGAATTATTATATGGGTACAGAGTACAGAGGAAATGGAGTTTTCTTTACAGTGGTATACACATAAAATGAAATATTCAGCCTTTAAAAAGAAACAAATCAACTAGATGCAGTGGCTCATGCTTGAATCCCAGCACTTTGGGAGGCCAAGGCAGGAGTATTGCTTGAGCCCAGGAGTTCAAGACCAGCCTAGGCAATATAGTGAGACCCAGAATCTACAAAAAACAAAAAAGTTAGCCAAGCATGGTGGTGCACTCCTGTAGTCTCACCTTCTTGGGAGGCTGAGGCAGAAGGATCACTTGAGCCCAGGAGTTCAAGGCTGCAGTGAGCTACGATCATTCTACTGCACTCCAGCCTGTATAGCTGAGCAAGACCCTGTCTGAAAAATAATAAAATACAATTAAATTAAATAATAAATTTTAAAAAAAAATCCTGCAACATGAGATGGACCTTGAAGTCATTATGCAAAGTGAAATAAACCAGTCACAGGACAAATACTGCAAGATTCCACTGCAATGAGGTATCTAAAATAGGCAAACTCATAGAAGCAAGGAGGGGCACAGTGGTCGCCAGCATAGGGGCTTTCAGGAAATGGGAAGTTGTTAATAAAAAAGTATAAAGTTTCAGTAATGCATTCTAGAGATCTGCCATACAACATTGTGGCTATGTGGTACTATACATGTAAAACTCTGTTAAGAGGTTAAGAAAAACAATTAAAAATTTTTTTAGAGACAAAGTATCGCTCTGTCACCCAGGCTAGAGTGCAGTGGCAAAATTATAGTTCACCGCAGCCTCAAACTCCTAGGCTCAAGTGATTCTCCTGCCTCAGCCTCTGGAGAATCTGGAACTACAGGTGCATGCCATCATGCTCGACAAATTTTTTAAAATTTGTCGTTGCCAGGCTGGTCTTGAACTCCCAGCCTCAAGAGATCTTTCTTCCTCAGCCTCCCAAAGTGCTGGGATTACAGAAGTGAGCTACCATCCCAGCCAAAATTACTATTAAGAAAAAAAAAGAAAGAAAAACTATATCTACAACATGGAAGAATCTCACAAACATAATGATGCAAACTAGAAAGACTCAGTAGAATACATATAGTATCATCCCATTTATAGAGCTCAAAACCATGCAAAACTAAACTGTATTATTTACAGATGCATAGATCAGGGCAAACTACGAAGACAAGAAAAGCATTATCATAAAAATTGGGACAATAGGGCCCGGCGCGGTGGCTCATGCCTGTAATCCCACTACTTTGGGACGCTGAGGCGGGCAGATTACCAGAGGTCAGGAGTTTGAGACCAGCCTGGCCAACATGGTGTAACCCCGTCTCTACTAAAAATAGAAAAAATTAGCCGGGTATGGTGGTAGGCGCCTGTAATCCAAGCTACTCAGGAGGCTGAGGCAGAAGAATCGCTTGAACCCAGGAGGCGAAGGTTGCAGTGAGCCAAGATCATGCCACTGCACTCCAGCCTGGGCAACAAGAGGAAAACTCCATCTCAAAAGAAATAAATAATTGGGACAATAGTTAACATAAGGAGGAGGTATGAAGAGAAAGATACACTTCTGGCGTCCTGGGATCCTGGTAATACTCTACTTCTTTCTTGATCTAGATGATGATTATGTATAACTGTAATTTTATACTGAGTCTTCACGTTTACTATGGATACAATATAATTTTTATGCATAACTAAACTTCATAATTTCTTTGTAACTATTCTTTAAATTATGTAAGTTTTTTTTTTTAATTTTATTTTTTTGAGACAGAGTCTCACTCTGTTGCCCAGGCTGGAGTGCAATGGCATGATCGTGATCTAGGCTCACTGCAACCTCCACTGCCCAGGTTCAAACGATTCTCGTGCCTCTGCCTCCCGAGTAGCCGGGATTACAGACATGGGCCACCATGGCCAGTTAATTTTTGTATTTCAGTAGAGATGGGGTTTCACCATGTTGGCCAGGCTGGTCTCGAACTCCTGCCCTTAAGTGATCCACCTGCCTCAGCCTCCTGAAGTGCTGGGATTACAGGTGTGAGCCACTGTAACTCTTGGTTTCCAGCCAAATTATGTATATTTTTACAAATGTATCTTGGTCTCATAATAAATTTTTTTTTTTTTTTGAAATGGAGTCTCACTCTGTCACCAGGCTGGAGTGCAGTGATGCAATCTCGGCTCACTGCAATCTCTTCCTCCTGGGTTCAAGTGATTATCCTGTCTCAGCCTCCCGAGTAGCTGGGATTACAGGTGTGTGCCCCCATGCTCAGCTGACTTTTACATTTTTAGTAGAGATGGGGTTTCACCATGTTGGCCACACTGGTCTTGAACTGCTGACCTCATGATCCGCCTGCCTAGGCCTCCCAAAGTGCTGGGATTACAGGCGTGAGCCACCGCCCGGCCAATAAAAACATATAAAAAAAAATTAGGCTGGGCACAGTGGCTCATGCCTGTAATTGAGATGGAGTCTTCCTCTGTCGCCCAGGCTGGAGCGCAGTGGCCAGATCTCAGCTCACTGCAAGCTCCGCCTCCCAGGTTCACGCCATTCTCCTGCCGCAGCCTCCCGAGTAGCTGGGACTACAGGCGCCCGCCACCTCGCCCGGCTAGTTTTTTGTATTTTTTTAGTAGAGACGGGGTTTCACCGTGTTAGCCAGGATGGTCTCGATCTCTTGACCTCGTGATCCGCCCGTCTCGGCCTCCCAAAGTGCTGGGATTACAGGCTTGAAAGTCTTTTCTTAAAAGACTATGGCTTCCCAGATTAAGGAAAAACAGGCAAAAGATAGAGAAGCTTTTCAAAGAACACTGAATTGGATCTTGAAGGACAAGTGGAACTTTACAGACAGGACTGAGGTTGTGAAGACTAGTCTATCAGTGGTACAAAGGCTGAGGTAGAATAGTATATGTAGAGAAAGAATGTTCAAAAGCCTCAAGTATCATGCTAAGGAGTTTAGATTTTATCCTACAGGTAATGGAGACCCTCACGGCCTTTCAGCACTGAAGTCCTAGGATTATTCTACGATTATCTTGGACCTCTTTTATTCTATCCATTTTTTATCTTAGAAAAAAATATGTAAATTAAAAGATATATATATCTTTTAATTTTTAATATGTCTTACATGAAGATACAGAAAATAGAATTACACCCATGTACCCACTAACCAAATTTAAAAAGTTAAATTGGGCCCTATTCCCTCTCTTTTAAAGGCATAAAACATTTCAGAATGATTGACGAAGGAATCTCACTCTGTCACCCAGGCTGGAGTGCAGTGGTGCAATCTTGGCTAACTGCAGCCTCCTGGGTTCAAGCGATTCTCGTGCCTCAGCCTCCACAGTAGCTAGAACCACAGGCACACACCACCACGCCCAGATAGTTTTTGTATTTACTGCAGAGAGGGGGCTTCATCATGTTGGTCAGGCAAGTCTCTAACTCCTGGCCTCAGGTGATCCGCTTGCCTGTCTCCCAAAGTGTTGGGATTATGGAGAAAGCCTGATGTTGTGGGACATGATTTAAAATCAGGCGCTCTTAGTTCAAATTCTGTATCTCTAGCACTTAATCGCCAAATGCTCTTTCTGTACAGAGACAACCTCTTTATGATTCAGATTCTCCATGTCTAAAATGAGGACAATTTCATCCGCTTCTCTGGGTAATAATAACAGAACCCTTACTGTGTACTATGTAACAGGTAGTCTTCGAAGCATTTATTATTGCATACATTAAGTCGTTTAATCCTAACAAAAACGCCAGGAAGTAGAAGAGACCATTTCCCCCATATGACAGACGAAAACCAAGACACTTAGTGTTTCAGTAACGTGCAGTAGACACAGCTAAGCGTGAAGGAGCTAGAATTCGAACCCAAGCAATCTGATGCGGTATTCTTAATCACTTCGCTTTGCTGGGATATCGTGAAGCTACAGTTGTAAGATCATGGGTGCCAGGAACACGGCACACAGTAGACACTCAAAAACAAGAGTAGCCCAGTTCGTGATTATGGAAGGCCATAGAAAAAGTTCAAAGTGTTTTCGTTGTTCCCCAGGAGGGACACGGAGGTAATAGTGTCAGAGGTCTGGGCTGGGATTACCCCGTGCGGGGCATCATGTTAGGCACTGGAGTACACGGGCAAGAACATGCCGGGTCCTAGCCCATGCTCGGCCTCCGACGCTCCGGGAGACCTTGGCAGAGTTCGCCCCTGCCCTGGGCCTCTGTTTTCCCATCTGGGAACGTATTATGTATTTGCTGTCCTCCCAGGATGTTCGCCAGACTAGATGACTCAGCGAGGCGAGGCGAACCAGTGCAGGAAACGGAAGAACTCGTGCTGCCTCCAGCTCCGGGCCGGACAGCCAGAGCAGGGCTAGGTCGGCGCAGATCGACCCGTAGTTACGCGCGCGGCACTCACCTCGCACGCAGACTCCAAGCGGGCGGAACCAGGATCCAAACTCCCCGCCGCGCGACCACGGCTGCCGCGCAGAGATCTCGCTCACTTCGCGCCGGAAGTCTGCCTATTCCGATTGGCTGCTTTCTGGGGAAACCGACCAATACTGTCGTACCCCCACATCTGTTCCCGCCCTTCAGGCTGCTGGGGCGGGGTCGCCGTGCGGCGCCGGGAGGGGCACGTATCTCCAAACCCCAATCAGAGTCCGGACGGGAGGGTCAGGTGACTACGGTTACATCCCGGGCTTCCGGCGCTAATTGGGTCTTTGTTTTTGGTGTTTTAGAGTCAGTGAAGGCTTTAAAGGAAGTAGGAAGCTAGAACCCGGCTGTGGCGGGCTTGAAAAGCTCGGGCGTCTGAGAGCTGAGACTTGCCAGTTCCCACAGGCCAAGCCAGGCGTCTTCACCCCGTCTCTTGTCTCTGCGACGGTGTATCTCTGCGAGGTTTTGGCGGCCTTGCCTCTCCATCCCCTTAATAATGCTGGTCTCTTCACCCGTACCCCTCTACACGAGCAGGTGCAAATTGTCATTGCACCGGGAAAGGGGGCGCACACTCAGATGCCTCCAGTGACACGTGAGAAGCCATGCTTCTGTTTCAACCTATTGCTGACACGCGGAAATGTGGGCCCTGTGGTACCAGATCTTACTTTCTTTCCTTTCTTCCTCTCGTCTCCCCTCTCTACTTCCTTCCCTCTCTCCTTCCCTCCCGCCCTCCCTCCTCTTTGTGTGTGTGGTAAAATGTATCTAACATAAAATTCACCATTTTTAAGTGTACAGTTCAGTGGCATTAAGTACATTCACATTGTTGTGAAACCATCAGCACTTTCCATCTCCAGAACTTTTTCATTATCCCAAATAGAAAATCTGCCTATTACACAGTATCTCCCCATTATCTGCTTCTCACAACCCCTGATAGCCAATATTGCACTTTCTATCTGTAAATGCTAGGTACCGCATATAAATTGAATCATACAATAATTGCTCTTTTTTGATTGGTTATTTCACTTAGCATAATGTCTTCAAAGAGCATCTATGTCGTAGCATGTATCAGAATTACTTCCTTCTTGAGGCTGAATAATACTCCATTATACATGTATACTACATTTTGTTTATCCATTCATCCATATAAATGGATGCTTGGTTATTCCCACCTTTTGGCTATTGTGAATAATGCTGCTGTGAAATTTGGTATACAAATAATCATTCTCCACGTAATACGCAGAAAGACTTTTCTAAAATGTAAAAATCTGTTCAAGTTACCACCCTCCTGAAAATCTTCTATTGTAAATTGAAACCAAAATATGATGCTATTAAACACTCCATAGAATAACTGAAATGAAAAAACTGACAATTCCCTTAGTTGCAAGGATGCAGAAATGGGACTGTCATACAGTGTTGATGGAAGTGTAAAATGGTACAACCACTTTGGAAACAGTCTCTACCGAAGTTAAATTTACTCCTACCCTATACCCCAGAAATCCCATTTCTAGATATTTACCCCAAAAAATGAATGCCTTTGTTCACCAAAAGACTTATAGCAGCTTTATTCATAATAGCCAAAGGTAAAGAACTCAGATGTCCACCAATAGATGAATAGATAAATTGCGGCTTATTCATATAACTGTATACTACTGTTGAAGAGTAATTTTAGGCCGGGCGCGGTGGCTCACGCCTGTAATCCCAGCACTTTGGGAGGCCGAGGCGGGCGGATCACAAGGTCAGGAGATCGAGACCATGGTGAAACCCCGTCTCTACTAAAAAATAGAAAAAAATTAGCCGGGCGCAGTGGCGGGCGCCTGTAGTCCCAGCTACTCGGGAGGCTGAGGTAGGAGAATGGCGTGAACCCGGGAGGCGGAGCTTGCAGTGAGCCGAGATTGCGCCACTGCACTCCAGCCTGGGCGACAGAGCGAGACTCTGTCTCAAAAAAAAAAAAAAAAAAAAAAGAAGAGTAATTTTAATATCAATTATAATCATACAGATATAAAATAAATGTTAGACATTTTATTTAACTCATTAATGAATGAGAGATCCAGAAAGATTACACCTGCTTCAATGGAAAATTCAAAGTACCTCACACACAGTCAAATGAGGTATAATGAAATGAAATGAAATGAAATGAAATAGCTACAAATACATACAAAAACTGGCAAAACTGATCAAATCCACAGCTCAGTAATCAATTGCATTCTACTGAAAACAATTTGCATTTCTATAGACAAGAAGTGTCTATAGTTTGTAAAACCTCCAAGTTGTTCTGTAGCTCAAAGACAGAGAAAGGTTTAGAGTCCTCATAGAATCAGACATCCTAGAAAGGTAAGCTGGACAGCTGGGCACCTTGTTTTTCAATGACACCCAGTAATCATTTCTTTGTTGTTTGTTTTTAGATGGAGTCTTGCTCTGTCACCCAGGCTGGAGTACAGTGGCGTGATTTCAGCTCACAGCAACCTCCACTTCCCGGGTTCAAGCGATTCTCCTGCCCCAGCTTCCTGAGCAGCTGGGCCTACAGGTACGTGCCACCACGCCTGGCTAATTTCTTGTATTTTTAGTAGAGATGGGGTTTCACCATGTTGGCCAGGCTGGTCATGAACTTCCGACCTCAGCTGATCTGCCCACCTTGGCCTCCCAAAGTGCTGGGATTACGGTCGTGAGCCACTATTCCTGGCCCCAGTAATCTTTTTTAGACCATTTCAAAGCTTTTCTCAGTTTTTTTCTGTATTACAAAGTAATAGGAGAACAAACTACTGGTACATACAATATAGGTGAAGCTCAGACACTATGCTGAGCGCAAAAAGAGGCAGATGAAAGAGTATATAGTGCATACCAGGTTACCTCTGGAGGCAGAGGTAGACTAGGAAGCTCCACAAGGAAATCTTATGGAGTGTTGGAAATTACATATCTATCTTATATAGACATTTAGTATATTTAAAGTAATATATAAATCATTTATATATAAAATCATTATATACATATAATCATTGAGATATGTATTTTTTCAATTTTTTAAAATTTGTTTTTATTTTTTGAGACAGGGTCTGGCTCTGTTTCCCAGACCAGAGTGCAGTGGTGCCATCTTCACTCAGTTCAACCTCCACCTCCCAGGCTCAAGCAATTCACCCACCTCAGCCTCCTGAGTAGCTGGGACCTCAGACACATGCCACCACGCTTGGCTAATTTTTGTATTTTTAGTAGAAATGGGGTTTTGCCATGTTGCCCAGGCTGGTCTCGAACTCCTGGCCTTAAGTGATCTGCCAGCCTCAGCCTCCAAAAGTGCTGGAATTATAGCTGCGAGCCACCTTGCCTGGCCAAGGTATGTATTTAAGATTAATATGAGTGCACAAGCCTTTCATCACCCTACGCTAACATCCACAGAATCCTTCCAGATGGGAGGTAAAGGTTGCGGTGAGCTGAGATCACACCACTGCACTCCACCCTGGGTGACAAAAAGAATCTATCTCAAAAAAAAAAAAGACACACAACACACACAGAATCCTTCCAGCAGCTCCCATTTGCCTTCAAGGTGAAGACCAAACTCCAATTGAGTCCCTGCTTCCTCTCATGTGTCATCTGTCCCTAATCCCCATTTTCCTGACGTTTCCTCAAGGTGTTTTATAGTCTTTCCAGTTTCCTGGCCTTTGCCTCCAAATCATACCTCTCATTCATCTCAGGTCTCAGGACAACTTTTCTGTAAGTCGTTGGAGAAGTTGGGAAGTTGGAAAGCCTTACCTAATCCTCCAAATCTGCCTGTGTGTCCCTCCTGGGTTTTCCCAAAACATGAGTCAGCATTTGTATTGGTTGTATTGACACTATTAGTGTGCCTGTCTTCCTCTACAGAATATGCTCTCCATGAGGGTGTTATTCAGGGCCTACCACAATGGCTGGCACTAGAGAAGGGCACAAAATTGAAGAACAGTGAAGACAAAAACAGTAAGATAATTAAGGCCATGTGAGACAGCAACAATATTAGCTGAGTGTCACCCTTCATTGAGTTGTGAGTATCCAACCTCTCACTTTGGGGGATACTGTTTGAGCCTAAATAACATTAGTGGCTTTATTCATGTGGTAGATTGTTTGTATCTTTGCGTTGTCTCTATCCTGCTTTTTCCTTGGCCATTTTGCTATTAAAAATCTGCTTGATTTACTCTGCGTTTTCCCATAGAGAAGGGTAGCCTGAGGAGTTATTTAACAATGATGTGTTTTGGCCAGGCACAGCGGCTCACGCCGGTAATCCTAGCACTTTGGGAGGCCGAGGCAGGCGGATCACAAGGTCAGGAGATCAAGACCATCCTGGCTAACACGGTGAAACCCCGTCTCTGCTAAAAATACAAAAAATTAGCCGGGCGTGGCGACGTGCACCTGTAGTCCCAGCTACTCGGGAGGCTGAGGCCGGAGAATGGTGTGAACCTGGGAGGCAGAGTTTGTAGTGAGCCAAGATCGCGCCACTGCACTCCAGCGTGGGTGACAGAGTAAGACTCTGTCTTGGAAAAAAAAAAAAAAATGATGTGTTTTGTTTTTGCAACAAGTAAAAATTGACATATTTCACCCACATGTTCATTAACAGATGAATGAACAAACAAAATGTGGTATATCTAATATGCTGGGTGTGGTGGCTTACAGCTGTAATCCCAGCATTTGGGGAGGCTGAGGTGGGTGGATCAGTTGAAGTCAGGAGTTCAAGACCAGCCTGGCCAACATAGTGAAACCTTGTCTCTACTAAAATTACAAAAAAATTAGCCAGACTTGGTGGCATGCCCCTGTAACCCCAGCTACTCGGGAGGTTGAGGCAGAAGAATTGCTTGAACCTGGCAGGTGGAGGTTGTAGTGAGCCAAGATTGTGCCACTGCACTCCAGCCTGGGCGACAGAGAGAGGCTCCATCTCAAAAAAAAAAAAAAAATAGTAGTATATCCATACAGTGGAATATCATTCGGCCATGAAAAGGAGTGAAGCTCTGATACATGCTTCAACATTCTGAGTCAAATATGCCAGACACAAAAGAACAAATACTCCATTTATATGAAATATTTTGAATAGGCAAATTCATAGAGATAAAGTAGATTAGAGGTTTCAGGAACTGACGGAGGGAGGGAAGAATGAGGAGTTATTGCTTACTGGGTTC